TATATATATATATATTCGAAATAATTTTCTGATAGCAAACTATTCTACAATAATACTTTATTGAGTGTACAAAAATGAAAATAAAATTTAAAAACTTTTTTGAAATAAATTTTTTCAACATTATTTTTTTAAAGAGCAGCTTTCTTGAAGAGTAAGCGGTGAAATAAGTTTGAACGTTAAAATAAAATTGTAGCTCAAAAATATTTTACTCATTTAATAACCAAAGCAAACAGTTGCAATTGCGTATGTATTTATTTTCCATAACTTAAACTAATAAGAATCCATAACTTAAACTTAAACTTCCATAACTTAAACTATAAGAAATAAAAAAAAAAGAAATAATATGTTTGTTCATTCTTCAACAGAAAGGGCACGCTTAATTAGAAAGCAATCAGTCTGTTATTTTGCAATTAACATTTTTTTTACTTTTAAAATAGCAAGTGTGCTTAGTTTCTAAAAAAGTTTAATTCTCAGTTGATTGTATTCTCCTTATTTTTTAAGAAAAAAAAATCTTGACAAATATTTAGATTGAAAACTTAAACTAAAGTACTAATTAGTAAAAATGGATTAGCATTTTATTTTTTAACAGTCGCGTACAATGTTCTTAGTGATCAACTACCAATGTTCAACTCCCTAACCTTGTAATTTTGAACTCAATCCGGAAGACAAGGAAACTCCTGGATCAAGTATTGGGAGAAAGATGCTTTCTGGAGTACTTTTTCATGAAACTAACCCACATTTTATTAGATGGAGAGAAAAACCACGAAATCCTAACTTGGTTAGCCTGACAGCAAGTGGATCCTTACCCGTGATCCGTCTACCACTGAGGATATTTTGCGTCATAACTGTGGTTGGTGCGAAGCTGGTGCGAATTTGTATCGACCTGCCATCCCTGAGATTCGAACCTGACTCACCTCACTGGGAGGGAAACGCTCTATCCACTGAGCCACCAGGACTCTCAGTATATGAATTTTTTTTAGTATTATTTTACATACGTCGTTGAACAGCTGACCCAATTTTGGGTTTACGACTTCTAATGTTCAACTCCGTAACCTCGTGATTTTGAACCAATCCAGAAGACAAAGAAATTCCTAGATCAGTACCCCCTGCGGTATTGATTTATTATGCGACCATGGAGGACTTTGTGACTCGACAGATTTAACGTGCATCAGTCACCATTTACTATACGTCTTCGGCTGCCTGGTATCGATCAGTATATTATTTTAAAAAATCTACGTGTGTGTATAAAAAATAAGCTTAAAAAATTATTAAAATGTCATCAATTGATTGATTAGTTAGGCGAAACGTGCACGGTCAGGTAAATAAAATTTTAATTTCGAAATTAAGATTTTTAAAACGATATATCAGAAATTGAAATATTTCAAGACGTCTAAACATTTTGACTTCATATTTGGCAGCTCTATAAGTTCGGTAACTCCATACTTTTTTGTTGGAATTAAGAATATATACTTCAATATATATTTAGAACATAATTTTAAAAATAAAAAGAAGACTAACCACATTCTATCAGAAACATGGTTCTATAAAACATGACATTCGTTAAATAAAATATTTTATTATAAACTCTTCACTATATCAAAAATGATGTTAACAGACAAATTATGAAATAATATATTATTTATAATTTAAAAAAATTAGCAATCCACTGTCGAAAAAAAATTATGAAGGAAATTTTACGCTAAATTTACATATGCCAAATTCCTTGTAAATTTGCTACCTTTGGGTATTAATTGCTCCCTTTAAATATTATTTTCGTTGTCATCGAAACTAATCGTCTACTAAATAAAAATTTAAAAAATTTGAAATTTAGATTTCTGTGAGGGAAAACGCGTTGAGTAAAATGGCATAAAAATAAGAATCAGAATTCACATTTCTGTATCCCACTGTCAAATTGAATAATAAATAATTATATTAAAAAGAAATTTCTTTCATGGAACAAATTATCATCAAAGATAGTAATTTCATAACTATCTTTGGGTAAATGGATTTCATCACTGGGTGCAATTAATTTTTAAAATTGAAATTATGACCGAAAACGCAAAAAGTGAAATTAACAGGTCTACATTATGGGGTCTAAATTTTCATCTGCCCTCCTGTATAAACTATAAGGACAAAGGGATTTCCAGATTGCAGATATTTCATAAGTGAAAGTTCGAAATATAGAATAAAATATGTTTATTCAGAGAAAGTACGTTTTTGGGACCGATTTTATAGTCTAATTAACAATTAGTTCTAATCAAGTAGCACATTTAAAGTTGACTCCTGAAACCATGAATTGTGGCACTCTTATATCATGAAAATCCGATCATTAGAACAAAAGTTACTCAGGGTGATGATTTTTTTTTCGCATTGTACCCAAGCGAACAGAAGGCATAAATATTTTTTCTAGCGCTCAGAAAAATAATTTCATGATTGTTGCATCAAAAGAGAAATGGATACATTAAATAAATAAATTAAAAGTTTTTTTTAATATGATGTTTATTGATCATCTTTTATACACATTTTTGTAAAAAAAATTGTACATATTTTAGATCTGAAAGTAAATAACCGATTTAATAAAAGTTCATGAGGTGCTCAGATTCTTAACACATCTTGGCAACTTCAATGCTATCAGAGTAATCGACGGTCTTAGTTTCGAGTTCTCCCAGAATTCTCCTCTTGGATTCAGTAACCATCTTCCTGGCGTGAAGGTTTCGTTTTGGCAGGCAATGGAAGTCTACTTGGCGTGATTCAGTCATGGTGGGTTGGGCACTGTTTTCACATACTGGGACTGGTTTTGTGGAAAAGCAGATTTTGCTACCCTGTGAAGTAACTATGTTCCTTTTAGAAGTTGGTTCTGAAATTCAAAAGAAAAGTTTTAAATTAAATGTATGCTTTGTTTTTAACATAATTTCCCACTTAACACAATGGGGGCAAAATTTCCTTTTTTAATTTTCATTCGTCGTGATTAAAATAGTTTTTTTTAAGTTTTACATCTTTTAATAAAAACTTCAAATCAACCCTTTATAAAATCTTGACCTTTTCACTTCTCAAATATAACTATTAAATGAACATAATATGTTAAGAATTGTTTTTTTTTAACTAGTCTTACCTACGACTGAGTATCGAAAATAAAAATATCAACTTAGTTTAGTATGCATTCGATATGACTTATTTGACTACACTTTTTTTTACTATGAACTCTGATTGTCGTATATGTCTGTATTTGTTACCTCGTTCCGTACATTTACTTCCAAAAAAGTAATAATTAACACTTATTTTACGTTATTGGATCACTTCTTAAAGTATTAAAATATTGCTGTTAAGTAATGCTTCTTACCGTATCCTTCCCTGCTGTCCTCTTCAGAATCACCGTGTCCTCTGGCCCAGTGGACTTGAATCTCTTCATTGTCACACAATCGGGGTACTCTGGTTGATTTTTCTCCACATCGGCCAACAATGGATGATATTGAAAAACCTTCTCCGTCCAAATACAAGCATCTGTCTGGACCTCTGTATTCCCTGGCGATTTCACCATTGTATTCACTGCAGAGTCCACATAGTTCTCCCTTATATCTGGGATTTACCTATAAAGCAAACAAAAAATCGAAATCAGTGGATTAGTGTGTTTCTGCTATTGAATTTTGACTCTGAAGAACTCGCTTTATGTTATTGTAACAGACGTTTTGTCCATATTTGTGCTATTTTTACATTGCTGTAACTTTATTCAGTTTTTTGTACTTACTTGTACTTTGACGTATTGTCCGTCGTACAAAACTTTAACACCGGCTTTCACAGCGTGGATCTGAACGTAGCTGCCGTCGGTTGTCAGGAACACTTGAGCTGAAATCAAGGCGGATTCATTCAACATTACGTGTTGCAGGGTGCTGAGGGAGTGTTGTTGGGAGTTGAATTTCACTGGGTAGGAAGATCCAGATCCTGGATTCAAAATGATTTTATCCTCCCCAAGGTGAACTTGGAGTTCCTATAAATCCAAAAAATGAGTTTTAGTCGCAGAAGTAAAAAAATAATTAACTTAACTTAGTATTGCTTTTATTCATAAATGACTTACGGGAACTGAAGAACGACTGCGTTTGACTATAACAGCGAACTTCTTGTGTTCAGTGCAGTGGGTTGTCAAGACGTAGGAGCAGTCATGCTTGGCCATTTCGTAAACTTTCATGTCGTATGTCTTAACATAATTGCCAGTCAATGAACAAGAAGCTGCAATGAAAAGTTCCATTATAAACTTAAGAAAAAATTTTAAATCAGGCAGGAAAAATCACAAAAAATTAGATCATTTGTGGGAATTGTTTCAAGATTCTAATGCTTATCTTTTTAATACATGTTTATAACTTTCTACAAACACTTGTCTGCCAATGAAAAAAAGTTCTTAATATCATTAAAACTCAAAAATTGTAAAGATTTTTATAACTGTTCCGTTCATCTGAATTCTGAAGTCCTGCTTGTTCTTTGGCAGCTCTTTATAAAGTAACATAGTTTTTGAGTATGGGTAATCGCTTTAACCGAGAAATTTATCCCACTTTTCTACAAACTAATTGGTTCAGTGTTCTGTTCATGCTGTTGCAATAAACCAGTACCTCGAACGATATCTGTTTTTGGATCAATCTAATCTTTTTCAATAATTGTAATTAATAGTAGTTTGGGTGTATAAAGCGATAATATTCAATTTTTCAGTTTATGAAACTGTAAAAAGTCTAATTTTTCAACTAAAATGCTGCTCTATATGTTCTGAAGAACCGTCATTTTGATTGCTTTTTCTACTTGAGTGATTATAGTTTTAGGGAACTCAAAATTATGCCATAAGAATAAATTGGGGGGAGATGAGAAGTGTGATACAAGATTGTTACAGTTGCTATAAAAGCTGGAAATTGTTTTGCAATTTTTTAATATCTTTTTCAAATGAAATACAGTACTGTGGAATGGCAGATATTGTTAACGTATAATTTATTTTTTGACCCATTATGCAGACGTAATATAAAAATCATGAATGCTCTTGCTAAAATTGAACTAAAAGTAAACTTTCTTCTAGAATTACTGTTAGATAAGTTTTAGTTTAGGGCTGATGATACATGACTCAATGCCATTAAAAAATACTCAAAGAGTACTTGTGTTTTTACTTATCTACATTGACATAATGTCAGGAATCGAAGAAGTTCGTAGATTACATACCAGGATATGTGTTGTTACTGTAATCATGAGCATAAGTCTCATAGACACTTTCAATGCTGGAGAGAGGCTTCATTATTCCAGCAGGGACCATTGTGTAGTTGACTATCTCTGTAGGCTTATCAACTAGAATATTAACAACTGGCTTGCTAGTCATCTTGTCAATGTATGTTGCTTCGACTCGCAATGAAATTGTCTCGTCCGATTTCTTGTCAACTTTAACGTGGGAGAAGTAATCGTGCTTCATTTTCATGTCAAGGTAATTTCCGATATCCTTTACTAATTCGTGAACTTCCTGAAATTTTTAAATTTATCTCAGTAAAGATCATTCCTTAAAGATGAAAATAAACGTAATGAATTTGTAAAAAAAAATAGCTTTTGCATACAATAATAAAATACCTATTTCGTGTACCATTATGCAGAGACGAATTTCCATAATTATTACCAACAGAATTCTTAAAAATCATACCTAGATTCACGGACCTATTCAGTTGTACCGATGAAACAATTATGGACAGTGGCACTAATATGCATCGAGAAAGAAAAAAACTTCAGCAATTGTTTTTTTTTTCTGGTACGACATATCTCAATGAAAAATTAGGAGTTTAAGACAACAACGTTCCCATCAAAAAGATAAATTGTTTTTTAAATTTTATAATACACTGGTTATCATAAATTAAGGAAAATTCACAAAAATCGCGATAACTCAAGAAATTACACATCTTACAGGCACACTCTTACCCACAATATACAACACATAGTAAGGTATTAAACAACATAAAAAGAAATTATCAGACATTAATAGTAGTATAGAAATTAGCACATGTATAAAATAAACAAATTGGAAGTATCGGTTTGCAATAGAAAAAGTACCTTTAATATGGAATATGATTGCCTCTAGAAGCAATACAGCACAAACAGCGATGTGTGATGCTTTCAATTATGCGGTCTATCAGTTCAATAGGAAGTGAGAGCCATTGCTCTTGTAAAGCAGTTGCAAGCGTGGCAAGGGTCTGAGGGGGCGGATTGATGGCAGATACACGCCTCCCTAGAGCATCCCAAACGTGCTCGATAGGATTCAAGTCCGGGGATCGAGCTGGCCACTCCATGCGAGTAATTGTTTCCTGTTGAAGATAATCATCAACAATGCGAGCTCTGTGTGGTCTTGCATTATCGTCCTGTAACAGGAAGCAATCACCAATTGCCCCGGCATATGGGCGCACATAAGCATCAAGGATGTTGTCTCGATAAACCTGAGCATTCACGGTTCCCCTTGGAAAGACATGGAGGTATGTGCGCCCTCCTAAGGATATGCCTCCCCAAACACAGACACTGCCTCTTCCGTATGCATCTCTTTCACGGATGTTTGATGGATGATAACGGGTCCCAGGTTCTCTCCATATCAAATAACGTCTACTGTCACTTTCTAGACTAAACCTGGACTCATCCGTAAAGAGAACAGGCCTCCATTGATCTGACGTCCAGTGGACATGTTGTCGGGCCCACTGCAAACGGTCTCTCCTATGGCGTGATGTGAGCGGCACGCAAATGGCTGGTCGTCTCGCATACAGACCACCTTCGTGGAGCCTTCTGCGCACAGTTGACGTTGACACCAACCTTCCGGTGGCTGCAGCAAGAGAGGATCTAAGATGTGTCGGAGTAGCGGTTCTATTCCTGCGTGCACTTAATGTCAAATATCGGTCATCGGCACTGGTCGTAACAGTTGGCCGTCCTTGACTGAACCTCCTAGATGCCGAATCTGTGGTTTGAAATTGCCTCCAAAGTCTATGAACCACAGATGGACTCACATTTAGCCATCTGGCCACTTCTGATTGACTCTGCCCTGCCTCTAGTCTCCCGATGGCTCTCCATCGTAGTTCTTCAGGCAAATGATGCCTAGAGGTCATTATTACGAATTGGCTATCTCAGATTTTCAATGTCGCAATCACAGTAAAATTTGTGTGCTTTCTCTCAAACTTGGACTTTTATGCTCCAGGCAGATGACGTAAGCCGAGTGCAGCGCCACTAATTTGCATATTGCAATTTTACTCAGCTACTCTTAGTGGACAACATATGCAAATTTTGCACGGTTTGGCTTACTTTTGAAAGAGTTATCGCTATTTTTGTGATTTTTCCTTAATTTATGATAACCAGTGTATAATAACGAATTCTCCATTTATACATAAAGGAAAACTGTGCAATTCAGCATAAAATAACACGTCTGTCAAATAACTTCTATATTTTTTTTCCAAAGAAATATTTGCGTTCACAATTGTGGATGGAGCTCAGCGATACAGCCTCTAATATTCTTCTTCGAGGCTTGAGCTATAGCAGGTCGCTTACCAGATGTGTTGTATCAAGCATAATTGTAACAAATCGAGACTGTTTTTTTTTTCAGTTTAAAATTTCTTGTCTTTTTAGGGAATCCATTATTGTTTAAAATATGAAATCAAAATTATTTGAATTTGAATTTAAATTGTGTAAATGACATCAACTGTGAAATAACAGGCAATAAATTTGTATGCATGCATTCTAAACTCATTAGTTATCCCTTAATGTAACGTGATAAAACTATAAAAAAGAACATCTACCTCTCCCCAGATAGTTTGCATTCTCAGGTGGTTGTAGATAGATTTTTCTCTGATGGCCTTGATGCATGCTGGAGAATGGGCGGCCCCTGCGGCAGCATCCTTTTTACATTCTCCACTGGTATCTGGTTCAAAAGTCACTCGTTTCTCCAAAGGTAGCACTTCGCCCACAGGTTTGTAATTAAATACAGCCTATAAAAAGAGTTTTAAATTTTGCATACGCCACATAACTCTATTTGTAAGAGATACATTGTTGAAATAAAAATTTGAATATGTTATTACTTATGTTGCAAATTTGTTAAGATTAGGTAAAGATAAAAAAAAAAGATATTTCAGTAGTAAAAATTCATAACTGCAATACACATTTAGTATAAAATCTTAATTTTAACTGTCAAATGAATAAATACTACTTAGCATAAAAGTTTATTTGAGCTGAAATATATTAGAAAGGATGGGGTATGCTTCGGGCTATGTAGGCTAAAGCACAAAACCAAGTGAATAAAGCCCAAGTGAAAATACAGAAAGTACAGTTTCTGTATACTTATTTGTTTTTCATTTACGTTGTATTTTGCTTTAGCGATTCAAAACATTTTACTATTAAAAAATTTCTTAGTTATATATTTTAAAGAAAATTTTGAAATTTTAACTATCGGTCTTTCATTTCAATGAATATTATTTATATAATTTAATTTAACTTAAGAATACATACCTTAGAAATGATAGCTGGATGCATGAAAGCTGTTGAATCACCGTAGGCAAATGCTCCAATCGCCAATCCTTGCTGTTCATACTTCTGTTCGTATTTAAATTCATTGGGCATGTTAATGTAACCAGTGGCGAAATCAGCAGCCAACTAAATAAAGAACAAAAACATTTAAATTTTGATTTATTTTAAGATTCAATGCACACAGGAAAGTAAAGAACTTACTGGATATCTTTTGGTATGTCGGGGTGTTAATGTTGAGCCATTCACGTGCACCAAGTGTAAATATCCTCCGAAAGTGTGATAGTATTTTAAACTGATTTCGGTCGTTTCGATCTCTTTTGATGCAACTCTGTGATGTACTTTAACCTCAAAATTGTCCTTGATGTGGCTCAGGGTGTTAATTTTTTCGTATATCTTCAGACCCTCAGCGGCATAAGCTTTTGTGTTCGTCTCGGTGAGTTTATCATCGAATTTCAAGCCTTCGCTCCAGTTAGCTTCTGATCCTTTTTCGCTTGAGTGCTTGAGATCCCTCCAATAGTTAAGTTCATATTCAATCTGTAACAAATATTAGTTAGATTGTTGAAGAAAAAACTTTTTGAAGAGGTTTGTTCAAGTCATTACAATACATAAAAAGCTAAAACAAAATGGTTTTGGCTTTGTATCTATAGCCTTATATTGTTTTAAAGTAGTATATTTCTCTAAATGCAAAACTAAAAGAAGTTTTAAAAAAACAATATGGATTTCCGATTTGCTTAAGTATTCAAGCAATTTAATAAACTTAACATTCAATTAACATCCTTCCTGTGAAATTGTTGTTACCCAACGAAGCTTCCAGATTTTACAAGAAAATAAACGATTTATAAATTTATCATTAAAACAAATAATACAATATCTGAAAGTTGTGACTGGGTGGCGCAGTTGGTTAGTCGTCGGCCTTCTGAGCCCAAGTCTGCGGCCCCAGACACCGGATTTTTGGGATGCATTCGTAAACGGATCCGGGTTCGGGTGCACTTTAGCATCCAAATAGAGTCTCGGTGCTGCCATCTAGTGTGGCAGAAACTAGACGTCCAAATTAACATGACCAACGGTATCTCACCCATTGTGGTGGTCCTGAAAGAGTGGATACCACCTCTGGAGAACGCACTAGGTCTGCTAATCGGCAAGACCGATTGTGCAGCTCATTGGAAATAAAAAAATATCTGAAAGTTTTAATTTCATCTTTTAAAAATACCGCAACAATACAAAAAATGAAATACGAAATTTGCTGTAATGCTTTTTTCATAGAAATGCACCGGTGATGCATTCTACTTTTGTAACAGACTGATAATATTTTGTAGCTAGATTTATTTATTAATAAACTATTAAAAAATACTTATTAGTTTCACTTGTGAGTTTATTATGTGGGTGTAGGTTTTCACTGTAAGCTATCATAGGGATTAGTTTAAAAAAAAAACTGTCTTACTTCATCGCTTTCGTCTCTGAAAATAGCTTTGGGTACTCTTTGGATCTCTACGGATCTTCGTTTCCATCCAGAATTCATGTAAAGCCTGTGAACGTACAGCGCAGCTTCTTGCCAATTTTGCGGAAGGGGATCGTTTGAAAATGGAAGATCTTCAGTTTTGATTTCTCCAGTGAATTTTGGCTGTCCAGGGTAGTCGAAAGACACAGGATACTGAAAAAATATTGAACTATAACGCCAGGACAGAGAGTAATTTCAGTAATTAATTCATTATGATATTTTATTACAGCTCTACCATTTGGATATAAATGCTAATAAAAATTTACCTTAAATTGAGTGGGTTGTGTCTTGATGGTTCTCCTCTCCTGAGTTGGTAGAGGTGTCAAGTATTCTTTTCCGGAGTATGTTCCGGCCTCAGATCTGTGTGAAACAATTGTCTTGGGGAGTTTGGCTACTTTGTATGAAAAGCTGAGTTTACCACCCCTTTGGACGTTGATGGCAGCTGAGAATGGGTAAGAGGCAGCTGTCTTCTGTTCGTAGTAAACTCCAACCCTCTTGCAGTCACCCAAGTTCAAAATCTCATTGACGAAAATGTGTGAGTGGTATACACTAAAATAATAAAAGCGTGTTAAAATTATTTAAAACAAATAGAAATAGCCAAATTTTATATAACTATTCAATAATTTAACATTTTAAATCACTTCTATCATTTTTCTTTTTATTCAATTAAAAGTTTAAATTCTCACTTCGAAGCAGCCCTTATTTAAAATATTGGATTCACTTCAAAACTTTAAAAAAAACAAGCTCATTTCATGAAAGGAGATAAGTTACATAATAACTGTAAGAATGAACCTCTAATGTGATTACAAAAGCTTTTTCTAATTATTTTTTTAAATAAGAAACTCATCTTAATTTTTCAGAAGACATTTTTGCTTTAAAAGTATTATTTAATGAAGTTTCTTTTAATTCAACCTTAATTTCTTAACTTTTAGCAAAAATTCAAAAAATAAAAATCGCTTGAAATTTTTGACCAAAAGTTTTTTAATTGTTCCAAATATAACTACCATTTCAACAACTTATCAAGAACTACGTGCTAAAGTGATATGTAATTTTAAAATGAATAGTAGAAATGTATTTTTTAGATACATCCGAAACAAGCACCAAAAATTATTATAAAGGATTTTATTTCACTTTTTCGAATATATTTTATAACTTAATATTTATCTACACTTGGATAATTTAGTTTGTCTAATGTCTGTCGAATTTGCAACCATATTATAGTAATATGGTTGCAAATTACGATAATATGGTTGCAAATCATACTTCCTAAACTTAAATACACGATATTATACTTCAATGCGAAAATAAGGATTTCTTTGAAAATTTGAAATAAGTTTTTTGAAAATAATAATTTTAACTTAATTATTATATCACTTATTTTTCATTTTTCTCTGTAATGTTGTTATAGATACTTGTGAATTCGGGTCTTGTAAAAATTATTTTCTTAATCAAATTCTTTCGGAAACAGCGCTAATAACAAAGTGTCTTAATACAATGAAAATATCAATAACAATATGCCTTAATAATTCCTCAAAAGATAATAATTACTGTACTGTATTTTTTCAAACTTATTATGGTTATATTACTATAATTCATTAGTCGTCATAGTTGAAATTAACCTTTTGCTTACCGCTGGTACAATAAGTGTACCAGAATGTCATCATACTAATCCCCGTAAGCAAAAGATTAATATTTTTAAAAACGTTTGATGAACTCGAGGTAACTCACCTTGGTTGGACATCGATTTTGTAATCCAAAGTTTTCTCAGCTGGATAAGTTAACTTGAATTTTAGCGATAAGAGAAGTGGGCTCTTCATTTCGAACTGAGTAGGGAAAGGAATGGCTTTGAAGATGCTCTTACTGTGGAATGAAGTTGGAATGTAGAGTTTGACAAAATGTCCGCTGACTTCTGATCCTTGCTCCTTGACGTAGTATGTGAACAAGTCCAGGACTAATCGCCAAATAAACAAAAATATTTTGTTGTAAAATGTAAGTCATTTGTACTGCAAAAAATAAATTCCCGAAACTAATGAAATTTTCTTCATCGCATGCAGATTTTTCTTTTCAACAACTTCGAAATTTATTTTTTTTTTAATCTCTTCTGTGTAAACAAAAAGGCGCCCAGATATAAAAATCTAAATAGTTTATCACGTTCCATTTTTGCAGGAATAAATCTCCAAGCTTCTAATGAATTTTCGAATATTTTGTTTTCTAATGCATTTGACCATCTTTAACTTCGGAAAGGTAATTAAGATTTTTTGTCTTTAAGTTTGAATTCTTAGAAAAATGATTAGTGGAAAACTGAAAATAATTGCAGATTCGGTAATTATCACTAGAAATAAGCAAAAAGCTCATTTTTTCTCCTAAATAATTTTTTTATGTTGCTAATTTTATTAAAGATAAGGAACGAAAACATTAGATCATAAAAAAAACTGAACTTGTCTCGAAATGTAGTAATTTATAAACAAATAAGTCATATTACTTCTGTTTACTACAATGGAAACCGTTAAATTTACATGTGACGAAATATTGAAATCGTACAAAATTGTGCCATCCGCTATAATAATAATTCTTTAAACTGAAAATATTACTCTGCTATAGATACATTTTCTTACACTTTTTTTTAAAGTGGCTGTGATAAAAGTGACACTTCCTGTAATCGTGCAAAATTAACATATTTTTTGAGAATAAACCTTTCTTTGAACTTGGGAAAATATCAGCTACAAATCGAATTCTTATGCATTTATACCGAAAATGGTCAATCGTTTCACGACTTCCTCGATGATTATAGAGATTTTATTTCCTTCAAATTTTCCAGATCTAAAATATCAGTAAAAAATTGTAAAGACGTTTCTGCCTACTGAAAACCGTCTTGCATATATTGTTTCATTACGAAAACTTTTACAATTAAAAAAATACAATCACTTGACAAGATCATTGTATTTCAGTTGAGTAAATTTAAGCTTTGGGTAGTTTAATGTGAAGTAAAGTTCATCGATCCTAAATCTGCTGTTACTTACACATCTTGTAAAGATCTTGTGTGGTGAAATCATTAGCGTCCAAGTAGTAATAGGAAGTGGAGTAGAAAATCTTATGGAAGAAAATGGCTTTCCAAGGTTCAGGGTCACGTGATACAAGGGTTACCTAAAAATAAAGAAGAAGAAAACAGTTTTAAAAAAGTTCAGATCAAAATAATTATATAGTTATAAAATATAATTGAACTACAAAATTATTTCTCTGAATACAATAAACTGTATATAACTCAATCAAATCTCTCATGCAGTGTGGTTGTTCGAAGACTATAAGGATAACTTCTGGTGGCCGAAGTATGAATTACGATGGTATGAAGTCACGTGATGTTGTGAATCAATGTGAAGTGCATCTAACAAGGGAAACTAGGGAAGTGTGACTCGCCAATTTTGAAATAAACTAGTGGGATGTATGCCTTATGAAGAATAATTTTAGGGGGCAACATTTTTTTCCTGTGAGAGATAAAAAATAATTAAATATATAGAAAAATCGTTATTTTATTACTTCAATGCAGACTATTAGTTATTGTAATTGTCTCCTACTCCAATTAATTTTGTGGTAATTATTAATTAATTTTCTGATTGATTTATTAATTAACAAATTAATTAATTATCCAATTAATTGCAAATTAATTGGATTATGAGACAATTACAACAACTAATAGTCTGCATTGAAGTAATAAAATACCGATTTTTCTATATATTGAATTATTTTTTATCTCTCACAGGACTTTCTATGGGCCGAAACGAATGTTAATTAATTTATTAATTAGCAAATTAATTAATTATCCAATTAATTACAAATTAATTGGAGTATGAGACAATTACAATTACTAATGGTCTGCATTGAAGTAATAAAATAACGATTTTTCTATATATTTAATTATTTTTTATCTCTCACAGGACCTTCTATGGGCCGAAACGAATGTTGCCCCCTAAAATTATTCCTCATAAGGCATACATCCCACTAGTTTATTTCAAAATTGGCGAGTCACACTTCCCTAGTTTCCCTTGTAAGTCGTTTGAGAAGAACAAGTAAAAAATAAATCCATTATTTCTTCAATTTATAAAGTGAAAGGAAAGTTAGTTATGATTTTTCTAGTAGTTTTTTTTAAAATCTTATCTATAAATTGCTTCATAAGTTTATAGCACTAAAATTTCTTCTACATCATAGCATCCATTACACTTGAAATATATTTTTAATGCTTATGACATACTTCAGAAACTTATAAAATTGGATTCAATGTGTTTGAAAAACAGCAGGCGTTTGTATGGATCAGGGAATTAATAAAAGCATGTTTCGAATATTTTTAAATATATTTTTGAACATCGTAAATGTTACAAAAATTTTAATGACCATAATAATTACTTTTAATAGAATCCATCTTTAACTTTTATTCTCAGTAATAACTATTCAGTTTCTGGAAAAATATTTTTTTTCTTCACTCTAATACTAATTTGTGATTCCTAAACGTAAGTTATCTTCAAGATTTTTTTGGTTCTAAAAATATATATTAAAGATGGCTGTAATGGTACAGCTATTATACATTCTGAGATAATTTATACTCATGTAGAAGGTTCATTCAATATGGAATTTTCCTTACGTCTTTGAAGAGAGTTGTTTCGAACTTCTTTGGGATATCAGCGGGGCTTGACAAACTGACACGTTTAAGGACTTCTTCGTAGATTTGACCGAAGGTTATTCCTTGAACATTACTTGCAACCTGAAAAAAATTTACATTAAACCACGCTTTAATAAATAGAAAACGAAGAAATCATAATAAAAGAACCATTTCTATAGTATAGAATCATTAATAATCTAAGGCAATAAAATGTGTAACTTGTTATATATTCACACCATAAAGATGTTTATAGTCATGGTAATTAAATTCTGATTGTTAATAAAGCAAAAGAGTAATATTTAAATTTATCAATATTTTTAATATCCTATTACGAATATATAGAGAAAAAGAATAAAGTATCTATAAATATAATGATAACTAATTTCTTCAATAATAATGTTTATTTTTTTTATTTTGTTCACTTATTTTATTTTATTTATTTATTTATTTCAATAATGTAACAATTAAGATATTAATTGTTAACATGCAGAAAACATGTAAGAATTATGCTGAAAAGCAAGGAAAGAGTTCCATAAATAAAGTTTCTCGTCTTAAAATTTTAAGTTATTTTTTTCATGAAAATTTTTTTCAGAAACCATTGATGTTTTGATTTTTTCTGTTATATCACATATTTTTCTTTCCCTTCGATCTTTATGTTATAAATATTGTTTTTGAATGTTTACGAGATAAAGATGTTTGTTTGTACAGATATAGAGTTACGTTTACCGGTAATTTCCCAATATGAATAACCATACTGTAATTTTTGATATTAAAATGTCATTCAAACTTAGAAACTACATTTAAAACAATATATCGCCTTTTGAAAATCTCTATTGATTTCCTCTGCACTCTTTTAAAAATTCAGAAAAAAATATAAAAAATCATTTTGAATTTAAAAGAATGTAAAATGCTTTAAATATTTATTTTCATTTTATTTTGATAAAAAAGAACATGAAATTCGGGTTAGGCAAAAAATTAATGCATTGACATGCCTTTCAAAATAATAGAAAAATGTTGTATTCTTACTTGACAAGCATAGTCCTTAAGGTTGCCAACATTATATCCAACAGAACTGTAGAAAATACTTGGAATAAAAGATTCGTTGCTTGGAATGTAGTTGTAACGCTTCTCAATTCCATAACCGGTCAACTCTGTCAATGTGAAAAATAGAAAGGAATTAGTACCACTAACTGAAAGTATCATATGGTGTATCAAAAGTTATTAACTTTTTAGAAAGTAATTATTGTTCAAAAGGCCTAAACTAATAGCACTGGTTGTATATAAAAGTATCATGTTCTTACAAGCATATAACGAAATTTAAATTGTTTACTAAAAACTGTAAAAGTAGCATGAATTAGATTAAAAGTTTAAAATTTGAAACTGTACTGACATTTATAAATTGTAACACATAGTAATTTTATTTATAAAAGCATTCTCACCGTCAAACACGTCCAAAAGAATGTTTTTGGCTTTGAATATTCCACCATCATGCCTCTTCAGTTGAGGATAAACCTTTCTGAGGCGTTGAGAACTGATATAAAAGAGAAATTAGTTTTAAAAACTTTTTTTTTAATTTTTTGTTTCGTAGTCTTTAAATTTAGTGTTTTAAAATACTTACAGACTCTGGTAGCATGGTTGAGAACTGTTTCCGAAAGACTCGAAAGTGGAAGTAACGTAGCTGGCTACTTCCTCACTTGGTTCTCTCCAGCTTAGAGCAGCAATCTGTTCCAAAAGAGCCAAAGTTGGCTGAGATTTCACTAAAACACTGAAGGCGGAATTTCTGACTTTAGGAGGTAATGTCACATTGAAGAACACTGGAACTAACATGTCTTGAACCTGCCAAAAATGTACATATTTCAATTATTTATGTATTCCATTAGTGTAAACAAATTAGAAATGTAGCACTTCCCGTAAGGATTCGTAGGGATTTGGTACATCCAATTGATCCAGGTGTGTGAATTGATTCAATTAACCCAACATTGTTATATCAAATTATGTAACAACAGTTGTAGATTTATTAGAAATTAGATTCATATTGCCTTCAAGATAACCATGGTTTGATTCAGTTTTACTGGTAACTGAACTAAATGTAATCAAATTTGACACAGTTTCACTTAACCCACTTATAACTCGGTTTAGTTTACAAGCTCCAAATAAATTTAGCTTCCCTAAAGCTAATCATATCCCAATTTTAGTCTCCGATTTAGATAAACGATTCTTACTTGTCTTGGAGATCTACCAGCAAGGTTGTGGAGGGCGAAGATGGTCGATGTCTTGATGTAGTCGACGTAGCTGATGGTGAGTCCAGGGAAGATACTCCTGTCTTTAGGGTTACCGTGGACGTACTTTCTCAGAGTGGGCAACACTTTAGGCAGTCCTGTGAGGGACAGAGTTTCGATGTAAATTACCCTCTTGGCCTTGTTTTGAGTTTTGAGAAGAGAATCAGTTACCCTCTGGAGAAAAAAAATTTACTTATTAATTATTTACGAAAATATAAAAGAATATTCACCTTAAACTTGCATTTTACTTTAAACTTAGTTAATGTCTACTAGAAAGAAGATATTACTTTCTTCGGAAAATATCGGACCAAATATAGGCTAAAAAATCTATAGTTAAAAAATGCATTGTATATAAATTAGAAAATGCCTGTCAGATAAAAAACCAGAATATCAACAGTTCTTATAGAAAGCATTAATTAAAGCTTACTGATGGATTATGATATAAAATCTTCAATTCAAAGTCTTGTCATGCTTAACATAATGCTAGTTAAATGGGAGATTTCAGTTTTTCTTTTAAGAAAATTTGAATTTTTAAAGGTAGAAAAGGAAATCTTCAAGTTAAAATTTTATTATGTTTGACTCAGAATTTGTCAACTAGCTATGTGAAACAATCAGTTTTTCACGAAAAAAGAATTAAAAAGTATAGAAGAAACTCTTCAACATAGAGTATATTATGCTTAGAAACAAAATACTACAATTGAAGTAATTTTTTTTTAATAACTTTTTTTCGAAAAATGTATTTAGATAAAAATAATGTAATAGAAAAAAATATTCAATTTAAAATTGTATCATATTTAACCCAGAAATTTTCTAATTTTCAAAAAAAATGCTGTGTATTTAACATTACATTGATTATTTAGTGATTTAAAATTAATTTTTTGCACATTTTTCGTTTGATAAAATAAGAGCTGCAACTGATTTATAGTGTTTTAAATTTGATATAGTGTTTAGTTATTTAGTGATTTAAAATTAATTATTTGCATTTTTCGTTTGATAAAATAAGTGATGCAACTGATTCATAGCGTTTTAAATTTGATATAGTGTTTAGTTATTTAGTAATTTAAAATTAATTATTTGCATTTTTCGTTTGATAAAATAAGTGATGCAACTGATTTATAGTGTTTTAAATTTGATATAGTGTTTTCAAGATTTAAAAGATTTCTCGTAAATTTGGATATTTGCAACTCGAGAAGAAGAGAAGTGATTATGCCTATCTATGTGATTTAAACTGTTTTAATTGGATACCTGGAAGGGACTCTACGCGTGTGTGCTAAACCTGATTGGCTTTTGAATTGACAAATGTCCCATTATACCTACGATGACGTCACTTGCGGGTATCCTATTGTGAAACCACCGAAAATTGGTTCACTATTTATATCCACGTTACCAAATGTTAATCAAGCCTTATGATCTCTGTCATTTTGTCAGTAAAATGTTAGGCATTTAAATTTTGTTTAGAAAATATAATGTATTTATGAGTTTTAGCCAATGATATTTGACGTATCTAAGAGTTTTTGTAAAAATTGTGTGGTTCTTTTTCTTACATCGATGAATTGGTTGGCAACTCTCTCTGGACATTGCAGATACATGTGGAACTTGTCACTGCCTTCTTTCAATGGTTCCGATTGGGATTGGGATTGCCACATGTTCCTCAAACTGTAACTCTGTTGACTAGATTGAAGGTTTTCTTCATCTTGTTCTGGAAGGGGGTATGCGCACATTCTGCGAATGACTCGGGCCACTGCCATGTGAGCAGCGGAGTAGAACAAAGTATATCCAGTTGTCTCTGGGATTTTAGCACTGAGGAGTTTCTGCAAAAACGAAATCATTTCATTAGAATATTCACTTTTGATGGACTTTTCGTTCTGAATACAATAGTTTGAACGAAGTGGAAAATAAATTCTTTTGGGGAAAAAAGTAATTCACTTAAAGCTTATTTTTTTAAACTCTTTCTAATATGTGCATTACCTCTTTAAGACTTCAGTTGAGTTAATAGATAGTGTACAATTCATATAGCCCGTGACTGACAATTTTTTAATGCACTTTGACAAAGTTTTTATGAAAATCACTTGATCCTTAAAAAGTACTTTTAATAAACCTTTACGGCTTTCATAATTTCATTTTTTTTCTTCATCATACTAAAACAAACAAAAAAATTACATATCCAAATTTAAAATAAAATAAAACATTTAAATTATCTCATGTTTATGATTTAATTTAAACTTATTTTCTGAGTGAATAAAAAAAAATTTGATATTGGAATTGAAGAATTTTGAAAAATGCGTTTTATTTGAGAAAAAAAAACGGTGGAATATTTAGTTAAACAACAATTATTAAGCCATTATAGACTATTCCTTAAAGATCAAAATCAGCATTAAATGCAATTTGAAACTTTTTTTTAAATATATAATTAAGTTCAATAACAGATTTGAATTAATGGAAGAAAATCTTTTTTTTTTCCTTTGCAAAAATTAATACTCACTGAGAGCTCGGTTATCGTCTTTGCAGTGGGATGGTGAATGTTTTGTGGCAGAGCTTCCAAAACGGATTTTGATTCCCAGAATGAGATTTCTCTCACATCGATGTCGATGTTTTCATTGATGTGTGTCACGATAAAGGTAACGGAATCGTCAGTTCCAACAGTTGGCAAGATATCCAACCAGAGTTGCCTGCAACATTATTAATAAGTTAATCTAATATACTCGTCAATCTGTCAAAAAAAGAAACAATTAAAAATAAAACAATCATTAAGGAAAAACGCAAAGATATTGTGAAATGAAGTGACCTAAAAAAGAATAAATTCTTATTTGTTGATGAAAATTTCCATTACTTTTAATTCCTATTTGGTATCCTCATACCAAAAAAGAAGTTTTTCGCACTCAGTACCCGCACTTTTTCATGCGCAGAAATAAAATTCTCGTTTTTGATGATTTAGCGATTCTGTAGCTAAATTCCGTTGTTTTTATCAATCATTTTATTACAAAAACTTAAATTTTTTTAATCTCTCAAATCTTCGACGAAACTTCGTCCAAGATTTGACGAACAATTTGATTCACTCACTCACGTGTCATTTCGATGCATCGTCAATCAGGTTTATTCTGTTTTAATTACTGAAAATAACAGAATTCTTATTTTTTCTTTATATTGTTTTGCCTTATCAAATATTGGATCCAATTATGTTAATTTATTAAAATTCGTCTTTTGAAGCAAGTGGGGAGAACAATCCCCTTAATTTGATAAAAGTTCAAGCTTGAGCCGTGATGGCCCAGAGGATAGAGCGTTCAACTTTCATTGAAGTGAACCGGGTTAGAATCCCAGCAATGGCCGGTTGATACGAATCCGCATCCGGCTTGCACCAACCACAGTGCTGACGTGAAATATCCTCAGTGGTAGACGGATCATGGGTAAGTGTTCCTTTGCCGTCAGGCTAACCGTGGGAGGTTCTCGTGGTTCTCCCCTCCATTTAACGCAAATGCGGGTTAGTTCCATCACAAAGTCTTCCACGAAGGCAAAATTTCTCCCAATACTTGATCCAGGAGCTCCCTTGTCTTCTGGATTGGGCTCAAAATTACAAGGCTACGGAGTTGCACCTTAGTAGTCGCGAACTCAAAAATTGGGTCGGCTGTTCAACGACGGTTATAAAATAAAATAAAAAAAGCTCAAGCGGAGCATTTTCGAAGAAATGGTTACGTCAGTAACAAGGAAATTTTCATGAATTGTGTCTATTTTTTTACAGTGTTTAGAATTACCTGCTTTTATATTTTAATCGAAACCCTACAAATTTATAAAATAATTTTGAAATTTAAAGTATTATATATTATTTTTTAATTTTTAAGTAATGCGTATGCTTAAAAAATTATTTCTTTACCTTACGATTTTTTCTTGTTCGGTTGCTGTTTCCAGTTGGTGATAACTCTTAATGAAATCTCTGAGTGTTCTGAAATCGCCAATCTTGAATCTCTGCATTATTTTTTGAATGGTAACTACATTTCTTCCAACTTCTTTTGATTTTTCACTCTGGTTTTCATCAGCTAAGATGACGTCAGCAGTTTCTCTCAGTAGTCTCTTCGCATCGTTAATTATTTCTCGCGTTTGTGGGTACTGGCAGAGATCTTCCCACTCTGAAAACAAAAATTTACAAATTTTGCATAAATTTATCATAAATTGAGACGAGGCTTATATACCAATAAACATATTGAAAAGCTTTCAAAATATTATAATCAAGCTTAAAATTATATATTTCAAAACTTAAATTTAATTGTTTAAGAAAAAAAATTGGCTCACTGGTTGGAAAAAAGTTTTGTTGTTCGAGAGCACTTTTATAATTATAAAATAAAGCATTTTCTTGAATATATATATAATAGGCTATCTCAATACTTGTTAAATTCTCATAAATTGACAGTTTTGATATATTTACTGTTATTCATATCTGCTAAGATCAATCCGTTCATTTATTTTGTTTATGAAAATATCGTAAATTAATTTTTCGCAATTACCGTAATCTAATTTTCTAATACGGAAAAGTTTGCGAATTTTTTAAACAATAAAGCAATATCTTTATTAATGTTTAAAAATTGTTTGTTTTAGTATCCAAACAATTCCTTACACTAGTATATTTAATTTAAAATTAAAGTTTTGCTTAGAGTATAAAGTGACAAGCAGGAAAGTTTTCATTTTCCTTAGCGAAGAGTTTTTGAAAAATTCATTCAAATGTGAAAAATCTTGCTAAAACTGTAGCTTTTAAAAAAATAGTAATTTTTTACATGTTTAAAAATTACTTGTTTTAAAGTCTTAGCAATTCTTTAAATTACATCGTATATATAGATTGAAATTGAAGTTTTGCTTAGAGTTTAAAATATTCAAGCAGAGAAAGTTTTATTTCTCCTGTCGAAAAACTCTGATGAGTTGTCTTAATTGCAGACGAAAGAAAAAATATAAATTTTTTTTTAAAAATCTTAATGGAATTAGTTGTTCTTATTCACCTGATTCTTGAACTTCTTGTGTAAGATCATCGAGGTCTGTTTTAACTAACTGCTCTTTATTGTAATCCAATTTTTCATTATTTGCCATCTCATACTCGAGAGTAGACCTATAACAAATAAAGGAGACTTTTGTAAAAGACACTTAACATGCATTAAAGACAATGCAATGAACATGTAATAAATGGCATGCAATGAAGTAAATGGTTTACAAATAAGGAAAAAATAAAGAAGAGTTACGTAAGGGAAAAAAATGTTAAAGAAAAAAAATGAATAACGGAGAGAAAAACAATTGTTTCATTGAGATCGAGTTAAAGGGGGAACAACATAATAGCAGCCTGTAAAAAAAAGAGAGATTTTTTTTTATAAATTCAACAATGATTCCAATAAATTTAACTTCTTATCTTATTGTGTAAATTTTAATCTTCATTTTACCATGTTACAAATACAAAAATTCTAAAAATTAGACCTCTCAATATAATGTTTATGACTTAGTTTTTAAATTATACATAACTTGCTGTACTCAAAGGTAAAAAATAATCATTAAAATTTTATTCGGTCTGATTTTTTTTACAGAATGTAGTTTTCGTTGCTCGTAAGATTTAAAAATAATAATAAAAACTCACAAAATGGCGGCGTTTTGAAAATTTAATTTTAGTTGTTGTAGTTCATTTACGTCGCACTAGAGCTGCACAATGGGCTATAGGCGACGGTCTGGGAAACATCCCTGAGGATGATCCGAAGACATGCCTTCACAATTTTGATCCTCTGCAGAGGGGATGGCACCCCAGGTTCGGTAGCTCGACGACCTGCACGCGATCTTTTTTAAAAGAAAAATGACACAAAATAAATTTTTGTTGATTACTGAAAAGCAGTCGAAACAGTTTTTAAAACTCCTATGTGGAACGAAAACTATATTTATTGCGAACATTGTGACGAAATTTTAAACCAGTGCTTAAAATTATAACCAGTGCTTAAAAAAAGTGTCCCCAACTCCCTTTAAAATTGAGATACGATTAAAATCAACTCACTCGACTGTGACATCCAAGTCTTGTTCATAAACATTGGCGAGGTGGGTTTCTTTGGTGTAAACACTGTCAAAGATGAGGATTTTTGGGAGTCTGTCGGAAAGTTTCAAGTTGTGTTGTTGTGTGAAAGACCTCTTGATCAAACCGTGATGCTATACAGAAAAATAAAACCATAAAACTACATGATAAAAAAAAATATTATAAAATCAGTTAAAAAATTAATTTCGCAAAAAGATTTTTGCCTAATTAAGAATACTGGATATCTACACCGAAGAGCCATTACATTACGACCACCCTGCTAATAGCATGTAGGACCACCTTTAGCCCTCAAAACTGCTAGCACCCTCAGTGGCATTGATTCCACAAGGTGCTTATAGGTAGTCTGAGGTATCTGGTATCAAGCGCTCACCAACTTGCCCTGCAATTCCCTCACATTGCGAGGGGGTAGCGTGGCAGCACGAATTTGGTTTTCCAAGTAGGACCACAAATGCTCTATTGGATTAAGGTCAGGTGAATTTTGGGCCAAGACATGACTTGAAAGTCACTGGAATGTTCCTCGAATCAATCCATGACGATTCGACCGTTATGAGATGGTGCATTATCCTGTTGGTAAACACCATCCCCCGCAGGAAAAACTGTTGCCATGAATGGGTGAACCTGGTCTGCAACTATGTTCAAGTAGCTTACAGACGTCAGGGATTGTTCTATGAGAATTATGGGTCCTAATGTGCCCCTTGAAAACATTGTTCTTGGGCGAGAAACCATGAAAACCTGGGCGAGCCCATTGTTTTAGATGGAGGTTGGTCATAATATAATGGCTCTTCGGTGTATTTAAAAGAAATGTTAATTTCTTAGAAGCGAATTTAAAAGAAAATTTTGTAATTTTGCTTCAAATGTGATTTTAAAAGTCATAAATGTGATTTACTACAGTTCATTGGTTTTGTAGTGCATGAGACAAAAAGTTATGTTCTGTTGAAATTGAAACAGATGTTTATCACTGTATTTATGAGTACCAGCACATATCCATGATTGAAACTGTGATTCAACCTGTTTTATCATAGGACTACTAAAATCCAATTAACTAAAGAAAACTAAACTCAGTGTCACGACAGCCCATAGAAGGCCATTGCCTACTGTGCCCATCTCAGTTTTCTTGACCTTGGGCACCAGAGTGCAGGAGCAGATGTTCCAGTTAGGTGGTCAGTCTCGCGGAAACCCCAGTGTTTAGTCGAAGAATATATAATGTGAGAAGAAGTCTAGCTCCTCCGATACGTAGCAGGGGCCAGCAAAGTCCCGCTGTATGACAAGAAAAACGCCAAAGGTTTTTCAGCCAACACATGCGCACATCTTTCATCCATCATAGCGTCTCTAAACTTGTTTAACAACAAATTTTTCGACATCTTTAAAGTGACTGTTTAAAGTGACATCTTTAAGTGACCGATATCTATTTAAACTACACACTATGTTAAAATAATAAATTATATTTATTTTTTAATGAGTTCGTCACAAGTAAATATTTTCCTTGTTTAATAAGTAAACCTTTTTCAAAACCATATAAGTCTGTAAAGAACAAGAGTAGACGGGGTTTGAGTCACTTTTCATTAGCTGTTTACATGAGTAGGGAGAGACAAGGAGAAAGGTGTTAGTTGGGAGCGGAGAGGAATGGGGTCGCTTATGGGGTAAGGACGGAGGGACCCTCAGTAAGGAGGCAGGTTGTTTTCCTAGCAATACTTCCGCACCTCGATGGAGGCAACCGTTGCTTCCGGAACAGGTTTACATGGGGGCCTATGAGAGCTGGTCTTCTTCTCACTTTAGTTCCCAAGTATGCTTGGTACTCATTTATTGACCCACTGAAGGGATGAAAGGCTGAGTCAACCTTGCCCATCCCGAGTATTGAACCCAGGACCTGTGGACCACTCAGCCACCGGGCGTCAAAAAATCCAATTAACAAGTGCACTTAAAATGCAATGATTAAGTTAGTAATCAGTTTTATTTATTTTGATGGAAGGAAGAACTTATTTTTTTTTTTGTGTGTGTAAAGTAAACCCAGTATATACACACTTTTTCAAAAAAAAAAATAAATTAGTTTCGCTTCACTACTTACAGGTTCGTGTCCATTGGGGCATCCAGACCCAAATCTATTTTCGATATGTTCCTTTGTGCAAACTTCTGGGCATCCCTGTTTTTCGAAGTTGTGGTGGTACTTGTATGCAATGTAAGGAACTCCTTCAAAGTTGTCGAATCGACTGATGTTATAGACGTTCTGGGACTTCGGCCACTCTATGAAAGGACTAACGGTTATGGCATAGTGAGACTTGTACTTGCCTGCAGGAGAGCTCTGTAAAAAGTAACGCGATTGTATTTTTTTTTAAATCATAAAAAAAAAAATTCAGTGCAAAAAAAAGGTTTTACTGGTATGGAAAATTATACATTTTCTATTACAATTTATTTTATTTATAATTGTACAATTTATTTATTTTTAATTGTAAATAATATAAATGGTATCGAGTGAACGAAAATTAAAATCTTTTGCAGTGCTGACTAACTTTTAAACTAAAAAGAGTAATTAATTGGATAGTTGCACGGTTAGAAATATCGTGATACGTAAATCATGATATCTTCGAAGCTTGATGCAACCTTAATACGGTGATATGTGGAAAATATCGTTAAAATCCTTTATTAAATTGCATCGAATTTTGATGGAAACTAAACTTTTATTTAATCAACATATTTTTTTAATGAAGAGGAAATGGCTGTTGGTGTATCTGTATAACGTCCTTTAACTTGGACACCAATAAAAAAAATCTATGCTACTAAATCATTCTCGCTTGATGGTAAAGCAAAATTTCTACTAAAGCATTCTCGCTTGATGGTAAAGCAAAATTTTCACCCATGAAAAAATCTATGTTACTAAAGTATTCTCGCTTGATGGTAAAGCAAAATTTTTACCAATAAAAAAAATATATGTTACTAAAGTATTCTCGCTTGATGGTAAAGCAAAATTTTCACCAATAAAAAAATCTATGCTACTAAAGTATTCTCGCTTGATGGTAGAGCAAAATTTTCACCAATAAAAAAAAATCTATGTTACTAAAGTATTCTCGCTTGATGGTAAAGCAAAATTTTCAATTAACTTTACAAAAAAATATAATGAAAATAATTTTCATGGCCATTCTTAAAAATAAAAACACCTCAAATACTTTTCTTTTTACTTTATAAGTCCTGTGTACTTGTGTACATATTCATTCCGGTTAAGTATTTCTATTAAATGAGTTTATTTTTGAAGAAAAAAAAATTCTTTTTGAAGTACTCACCCTTGTAAGGTTGTACGTGATTGGCCATTCTTTCACGGCATCGCTTCCGGTGTACTTCTCGTCAATGTGCACTTGAAGATTTCGCCAAACAGTTCTTCTGATCTTTTGTGCAAGCAAAGATTCTGCTGTATTCTGACTGTATTCGACAATCTGTAGCATGAAATAAGTAGCGTGATCAGTAGTGTTATTTGGTTAAGGGATTTGTTTTCAAGTAAGTTTTTTGGCACTTTATTCTTATGTATTAGTCTTGATTTTAAAACTTTTGTATTTGCTTAATACATTTTATATTTTGTATTGTATTTTCTCTTCTTGCTGGACTTAAGCAAAACCTTTGGAATATTGAGAGAGAAATTTAGACATTTGACGTGCTCTCTCGCTAGAAAAGGTTTTGCATTTATGGCTTCGGAGCTGGTACCCCCTGAAGACGTTAGCTTCGGTTGTCGTATTTTTTCATAATTTTCATTTTTAATTGTTTCGTTTGTTTCAGTTCCATTTGGAATTTCAGCTGCAAAAATAGAGCGTTTTTCCGATGGAAGTATAGTTTTTAATTGCTTTACTTATTTTGAATTCTTTTCTTATTAACATAAAATAAGTCATAAGACAAACAAAAAAACTCTTCTTTGCTTAAAAAACACATTAATGCTAATATATTTTAATAATTTTAATTTAACCAATTAATTTTTTTAAAGTTACTGATTAATTATCGAAGATTAAATTATTATTATTAAATTATTAAAGATAAACTGAAATTGGCAATTAAATGGTATAGAATATTTCAGCCTAAAAAGTCTAAAGATTAATGAAAATCATCCGTATTCTTACACAAACTTAGAAAGTATACAGCTCTTTGTTTCGTTTTTATGTATTAATTGGCATGCCAGAAAGAAAAAAAACTTTCTTTCATGCAATGAAATATTTTATCAAGTCATGTATGATTTCTTTTGGTATTTTTTGCGCATTCCTTACTTAAATTTATAAATTTAAATGGGTTTTTTTGGGTTAATGGCGGGCAATTGGGTCTATTTCCCATTAGCCTCAGAAATGCCAGAATTGCTACTCTCTTATCGTTACCCAGTGAGCACCTATGGCTAAGTCACGACGGTGGAGTAGCGTCACCCAAGTCATACAACCACAAACCCGTTTATAGGGTGGGTTACATTCACACACAGAAGAAGGGACATAGAAAACAGAGAGAGAAAGAAACATCCATGCCCTGAGCGGGATTCGAACCCGCAACCATCGGCTCCGCAGTCAGGCACGCTAACCACTCGGCCACCTTAACTTCATTACATAGATTATTACTCCCTGGTGGAAAAATATCAGTCTTACCTTTCCATCTTGATATTTGGCATAAGTTGGAACTTGCAACTCCTCTCTCAAAGAATTCTGTTCATTGTATTCAAGAAGCTGAGTTTTGCTTGACACTCCAGGCAAAGAACCACTAGCTTCTACATGATCGAACTGCGAAAGTAACCTCAGTTTTAAAATTTTTTTTTGCATAATATTCATTAAACAAAACTTTTGATGTGATAGAAAAAAAAGGAAATTTCCAATAATTTTAATAAAATAATAAAAGACATTTCAAATTAACGATAATAATTGTTTCATTTCCGAATTATTACAAAGACAAATTACTTTACTTGTATGATAACCAGATGAATAATTTTGGAAAAATATTTATTTTTCAGCATTATTTTGTCGATTTATGCAGTAACAATAAAAGTTTGTGTAACTAATTTGAATTATCTTTTAGAAATTTTATTTGATTGTAAGTAGGAAATATTTTCTTAAGCTAAAAAAATTTGATTTCAGATTCTGAAATTTGAACAATTTTCTTTTTCACAATCATGTTTAAAGAGCCTTTTAAATCAGTAAAAAAAATCGCTCAAAAATTTCAGTAAGCTTGTAAAAAAGCTTATACTCCTGTTTGTGAAATTATTTGAAAAAAAAATTTCTGTTTACTGTATATCAACTAAACAATTTAAATGCAAATATCTTCAACTACAAATGTTAAATTTATTGAATGTTATTTTTTTATTTAAATTTTTTTGCTAAGTTTTAAACACAAAATTAAAATAAGTTCGAAAATTATTTGATTCAATAGCGAGATTTCGCAAATTTATATTAGCTTCCATACTCTCCCGTAAGTTAGATTTAGAGTAATTGCATATGCTTCAGTTAGGGGGAAACACACCTGCCCCAGTGACAAAATATCAAACTTCCTTAGGTAAAAATAAGAGATTTTGCTCAAATCTGTAAGTTAAACGCGCTAACGTCGTGGAAGATCAGTTTAACTTCTATAGCAAAATCAAAACAAACATTCATTTACAATGGACGTAGACTATCTCTTTAAAGCTGTGGCATACTATTTAAGATGCCTTGCTCTAAGTAAAACTGTGGCTCTGTGAGCGGAAAAATTTGGTAGACATCAGATTTTGATGAATTCAGCGATTAAAAATGCAGCATATTATTATTATTATCATTAATAATAATATTTTTAAAAAAATATTATTGAAATTTTATTAATTATTAAACTTTTTTTAATTAAATTGTATAGTTAAAATAAATAAAATTTTTAATTTTAAAATAGTGAAAATATATTTAGTTTCTTACGAAACTAGTTGGCCATTAGACAGCCATAATGTTAAACAAAATTCAATAAAATTATTTTTTTTTATAACATGAACCAAGTGTTCTAAGATCACACGATTCATTTCTAAATTTCATCTATACGTTTCTTCAAAATCTAATTCCATGTCTATGCTTTTAGTTCGAAGACAGGCTTAAACAGAAACTAACACTCAACAGCTATAAACAGCTTGCTTGTAGCTTGTCTTTATAGCGTAAATCATGCCAACACAACGTAAATATACGTAACATCTAAAATAAACGTGAGCATGTGCAATTGTTTTAATCTTACGAAAGGGAGTATACAGAAGCTTACGTATAATTGGGTATAATATGAAAAAAGCACAACTACTTCCACTTACTAGGAATAACATTTGCCTTTTAGTTTAATTAATAAACTGAGTTTTAAATATGCTTACTAAATTCATAAACTTCGGTAAAACAACAATATAAATTATTTCCAAAGGAACTAGACTAATACAATTCCAACCTGGCGAGTAGTGACTTATAACCAGACACTTCGTTTGATGCTTTTACATGTTGCTAGAAATCAGGTTCGCAGAAAATGCTGTTTACTAGTTAAATTTAGTAGGAATAACACGATCTGTGACGTAGGCTATAGTATACCCAATTGCGAAATCTCTAATGAAAGCAAAATATATAAAAATTGTATTGTTATTCACTTAGATTAGATTTGAATTAGATAACTTGTTATTGAGTAATTTGAAAATCTGAATGGTTAAGGAATGAGCACGTTGTAAGATTTTGTAGCAAGCGCTTTTATTTTTCTCTACTTTTAATAGTACGCCAAAATCTTAAAATGATGTTCCATAACTTTATGAGAATGAAAAACGTTTAAATATTGCAATTTTGCGCAACCTCTTACCGTCCAAAGCTAAAAAATTTTTCCTTTTTAAGGTGGCCAAACTCATAACTCTAAATTATTTTCCCCGATTTATCTCAAATTTAAACTGCAAATTTAAAAATTATATTATTTATATTTATGAAACGTAAGATTATTTCATTGCACTGTATATTTTTTTTAACATAAAACATTTGCATGTAATTTTTAATGAGCTATTTTTGGGAAATTCGTTATACCAAAAGTACTATGCAATATTTTTTGCCACCAGAGGGACTCTTTAAACGACTTTTTTTTTACTTGAAGATGCGCATAGAAAATTAATTTATTTTGCTGAATCTTTAAATAATATTTTTAGATTGAAAAATATACTATCAACTGCTTCCTGTTATTTCTATGCATTTAAAACTTGATAGTTCAAATTAGCTAAATCGTCACTTAACACGTTTTTCCACGAATTTTAACTTTTATAATTTAATTTATGCTTAATTTGTACGAAATGTAACATCAAAACATCTTACTTTGAGGACAAGTTCGTTTTCTGTCTTGGCGAAAATTATGACTTCTCCAAAAATGACTGCTTTAGAAACTTGGGAGCTGAGGCCTGGAACACCAGCTGTCATGTTGATAGTCAAACCATACAGGTGAGACAGTCCAGGATGGAACTCTGTGGAACACCAGCATTTATAAGTCAGATAATTTTTGATTTAAACTTTAAAATGGATGATAAATTTGGAAAATTTAATTTATTATTTTTATGTAAGAGTAGAGTAATATGTATAACAAAACAACAAGCAAAATGGCATAAACTGCAGCAGATAAATTATAAATAATTTAAATTTTTATCCAATGCCAAAGTATATTACGTTTTCTATATTTTTTATTAAAAATTCCGTGGGTACATTTGTTTTTCAAAAGAAACTATTTTCATGCTAAACTAATATTGTAAATCTAATAAGTAAAAGAATGAATTAAATCAGTTTTTATTACTTCTTTAAACTTGTGATAAAATCCAAATCCAAAAAAGTAATTTTGAAATATTGAATTCATTTGCTTTTAGCAAGTGAAAATAAGAACAAAATTGACTTAAATTTTTTTTTGTTCAAATCGTTGATTTGGTACTAATAATTTAAATATATTGAAAAGAGCTTAAATTAGACTTACGTGGGTATCTCAGTTCATGTTCGGCTGAGTGGTGCGCATCTGAAAAGTAAATAGTTTCAGTAAATTTGTAACATTTCAATGAATTAAATTTTTTTTACATTCTCAACCAAGTCATAGTTTAAATGTTTTCGAACTAATTCTCAAACTCCTAAAAATACTATATGTCGAATATCTGCGTATGTTTCATGAAAGCTTTATTTCATATATATTGAGTCTTTATTACAAATCGTGATTCAGTTACTTTTGCTTTATATAATATGAATTCACAATAAATAATTAAGAAATGGATTACTGGAGCGTTAGACATCTGGAAAAAAAAAGTTTTAAGGAATTTTCATTATTTAAATGAAATAAACTGTTTACATTCATAACTTAGTTATAGCCTTAATATTTTCCAACTAAATCTCAAACCTCTAAAAATAATTAAAATATCCACATTTGGCTTATCAAAGCTGCAATTTATATACACTAAAAATTTAATTAAACTCGTAGTTATTAAATATTTTTCCTACATAAATAAAGTGTACTGTGCGAAAGAGTAGAATAAATAATTAAAAATAATTCAAAGGTTAAAGAGTAACAAAATGTAATAACTAAAAATAATTTACAACTCCTATGTCATTGTAACAATTCCAAGGAAAAAAATTCTCAAAAAAACTAGTTAATTACATTATTTTTTATCACATAATTAAGTAGTTTCCGATTCATGATGTTTCTTCATCCACTATAAATCCGCCAGATATAAGTTAAGATAGCGTTACTGTACTTATTGCAGTGTTTGAAAATTTATAATAATTTAAATGTATTTAGTCATTGCCTTTATATGATAAAAAAGGAATTCTTAAAAAGTTCATTGAAAATATACGTTTGATAAATCAATTTAATAACGCAAAAATTAGTTAATATGGAAGTTAAACGTTAACTAATACTTAATTTTAAAAAGCATAGGTGAATATTGAAGCAATATTCAGTACAAATAATTTTGAAATTAAAGTTGAAATTTTTAATTCTTTAAAATAAGTCTTTTAAAGAGAAAATTTAGGTAATGAAAGGTTTAGAAACAGCTTTCGTGGTATTTTAAAGCATTAAAAACGTCTTGAAACTTTAATTATGATTTTTAATTACAAGATTACTAACAGTTAATTATTGAGATATATACTTACAAGCCACTCCAAGTACAAGGAACGCTATAGCTGCGAGGAACTTCATGTCTGGAAGAAACCGAAGTCAATTCGAACGTTTGAGATTTCGAGTTGGTTTTTATACTGTTCAGCAGAGATTTGTGCGATAATATTGAAACAGAAATATCAAGCGCTGAGTTTTCAGAAAATTTAAAAAGCTCTTCGATTAGATAACGATTCTCAGACGAAAGGTATACCTTTGCTTATACTAAGAATTAATCGAACCCAACAAAATTTATTAAAAATTACATCACAAAATGGAAAGAAAAAATTACAATCAATGTTGCATAATTCGCAAACAAAATGTTATAGGAAATGTTTATATGTATATGTTTATATGTATATATTTATATGAATATATTTATATGTATATATTTATATGTATATATTTGTATAAATGTATGTATATGTATCAAGTAAGTAATCAAGTATGAATGTATCAAGTATGTAATGCATCAAGTTTAGTTGAACTAAGTTTACTTGTCATATGTCGAAGAATTAGACAAGAATTAAATCAATTTAGCGTCGTGAAAAGGAAAAAAAAACTTTATTTTTACTTGCACAGAATAGGAATGCATGTTTGAAATTTGTTAAAACGTATATTGTAAAAATTCCGGATAAAATTACGGTATTAAGTACCGGATCTTTGAAAGCATCATCCATAAAACTCATTTTACCATAAAACCCATTTTAACATAGAATTTATTTTAACGGTAAAATATTATACCTTAATTTTTACACTAATACTTATTTAAACAGTGTTGATAAGTGATTTTACAGTAATCATTACTAATAAAATAATGTTATACCGGTTTTTTTGTCCCTGGGAAAGTGGACTTCACAATCAGTGGCGTGCGCAAGGGAGGGGTTTAGGGGTTTGAACACCCCCCTTGAGCTCAGACAAAATGGCAAAAATAAACATTTTAGTAGAAATTATGCGGGAATTATTTTTTAAGGCTATATATTTTTATTTGCCTTATTTCTACCTTTTTATCTCACGGTATTTCTCAGAATACTGAAAAAAACACTTACTATAATAGGCTTGTACTTTTGAAACTAAATTCACGTGATACTGTTATGAACTGTTTTCTTTCTGTTCTGCCAGTCGCGATAGTTTTCGAGACTGGCTGTCATTCGCGAGGTCTTTACGCGATGATTCTGGAATCTTAGACGTTCTGTCGTCTTTGAGACAATTCGAGAATTTTGGAGATGCGGTGAAAAATTATATAAAAAGGGGAACGGAGTACAATGTAAGTTTTTCTGTTGTACAGAAATGTGATACTTCCGTTGAAGAAAACGTTTCTAGCATAACAAAATCTGATGAATGTGAAAGTGGCCCTCAAAGTGTTACTTCTCTCCCATATGACATTGGACTTTTTTCAGAAGATATTACATGCGAGAAGATATTACATTATGTTCTTAAACGTAAAAAATCAAATCAAAATTTAACTAAACAATGTTGTCTAAATAAAAAGTCAAAACTGTCTAAATTAGGGAAATAATAATGCTTTATTACAAACTCGAATTTCTTTTAGTAGCTTCAGAAAATTATGAACACCCCCCTTGAAAAAATTCTGCGTACGCCACTGTTCATAATACTTTACCGTAATTTCTACAGTGTATATTGCCTGCCTTTATAAGTGGCTAAATGCAATTTTCATTGAAGAAATAAAATGAATTCATGCAGATGAATAGAAAAAATTATATTGGCCTTACTTTGGAAAAAAATATTGATTTTTAAAAAAGTCGTATATTTAAAATTTAATTTCTGAAAAACTTTGTGACGAATTTGATGCTAATTTCCCTATTTTACTATTTAAAATTATGTGCAACATTGTATACCATAGAGTTCAAAATATTTTTGATTATTATTAAATGAAATAACAAAAGTATAAAAAATAATTTATGGTATGAACTTAACTTAGGAGAAGCGAATTTTATAATTGTGTTCAGAAAGTTTTCGGTTCGCTTCAAAAGTTCTAGAGATATAGTGAAATACGCAAAAATAAATATTAAAATATAGGGTCAAAACATTAAATTGCTCTCTTGTTCAAGCTATTAAGGACCGTATTTTCTTGATTGCCCCTACACCCCCTACTTACAACATCAAGAATTCGATTCTGTCAAAAAAAGCCGGAGAAAGTAGATTTTTGTGTTGGGATTCATAGTTTAAATTATCGTCTGTTCAAATTAACTAGCATATTTAAGGTTAGATCCTTTAACTATTAAGATTGATCATTAGTACGTAAAAATCGAATCATTAGATTAAAAGTAATTCAGGGTGTTCACTTTTTTATTTTGCGCACTGAGCACATTAAGAAAAAAAATATAGCAGAGAAAATTAGAAACTCTGTGGTAAATTATTTTTTTATAATTTTTTAATTGAATATTGTAACATTGCATATTATATATATATATATATATATATATAAGTTCAAAAT